GGCGGGGCTAGCCGGCTGGGAGGGCCGGGGCCGGGCGGCGCTCGCTCCCTCCTCGCTCCCTCCGCCTCCCTCCGCCTCCCTCCAGCGCACCCCGCCCGCCCGCAGCCTCGCACTGGCTCACACGCGCGCCGCGGCCTCCTGCACGCCACCCCCGTGCGCCCGCGGAGATCGCACGCTGCGGACCGCGGGTTGCAGGAGCCCCGCACCAGGTGTCGGGTCTCTGCAGCCTCGGCGTCTCCGCTCCGGGTAAAGCTGCTGAACCCACCCGGCCCCGCAGTGCGTGCGGGCCGCACAGCCTAGCGCGGCCGGGCACCAGGCCTTCCTTCGCCGACGCGCGCCGCCTTCCAGCGCCGCAACTTTTCTTTTGAACCTCTCTCGACTCATCCGCAGACACCCCGACCCCCCCCCCCCCCCCCCCCTTCTGAATTTGCTACTCCAGATACGTCTTTCTTCCTCCACATTCTCCTCTGCTAAAGAAGGCTTGCAAAAGATCTGGGAATGTATTTTAAACCCTTACTCTCTGTTTTCCCTTCACATTTTGATAGGCAGGAGTATATGCTAGCTACTAGATGCTGAGACTCAAATGACTAGGACACGGGTTTCCCCAGCCAAGCTCTCAGATGGATAGAATCCGGGTGTTGGTATTTCCCTCGAACATTGCAGCCCACCTGGAAATAAAGACCAAGAGACTGTGTGGTGTGAATGCGCTGCCGCGTTCAAACTACAGAGAGGAGTAAAAGCCGAGCATTAAGATTGAATCAGGAAAGACCTAATGCAGCAATCGACGAACCATTCATTGCCCTTTCCAAGAGAAGCCTTAGCATTGCCAATACATCACTTCGCCATAATTAATAAAGGAGCATTGCAGCAAGCTCTTGCTCTCTTGACAGCTCATTCATCCTTAAAAATCCTTAATGACTTGGCAGGATGAAAGGCTAGACCTACTGTGGAGTTCAGCGGCTCCCAAACCTGGCTGCGCTTCACACACACACACACACACACACACACACACACACACACACACCTGGAAGTGTGGACTGGGGGTCTGTGGATAGAAACTGACACAGATTGAAGCACAGTTTTTTTGTTTTAAGCATCACTGGATATAGATAGGCCCTTGAGCTTTGCCAAAGTGGGTGTGTCGGTGAGATGTCAGAAGCTGCTGCATAGGTGAGAGGCGGGGGCTGCAAAGAAGTTCAAGCTCTTTAGTGCAGTTCTCAGCTTATACTTACCTTGCGACTCTGTCACTCAGGCCTTAGAGAGAGATTTTGACTCGAGGAATCAGTTTAACTTTGCAAGAAAGAAGCAAGGTGGGCAGACCTGCCAGGGGCTCTTAACCCTGGCTGCTCCTCAGATCTCCAGGAGAGGTTTTTAAAAAACATCCCAGTGCTTAGGCCACACCCCATACTAATGAATTTGGACTCTCTGGGGGTGGAACCCGAGTTTCAGCGATTGGTTTTTATGTTCCCTGGTCCATTCCTAGGCCCAGGAACAGTAAAGGACTACTGCTCTGGGCTAGCCTGTGAATAACCTGGTGATTGCAGTTTCTTGCTCAGGACTGGGCCTCCATTTCTAACAAATTTACATGGGCCACGGATGCCCTCTGAAACAGGACTTCACTTTATTTAGCAAGTACACTTGGCATCCATCTAGTGACTATGGGCATCGTGGTCGGCCGAAGATATTCCAAGCTGGTTCTTGTCTTGAAAACTGCAGAAATTCTGCCTTGCTAAGGTCAAGTTCCTTTCTTAACGGTTCAGGTATTTTCTGGAAGCCCCGCTGTTATCACGCGGACTTTTGTTAGACAGCACAGGCTGACGCTCGGGGGACACAGAAGGTCACCATCATTCTACGAGAGTGTGCCCTCAGCCAGACATTGTTTTAGATTCCTGACTTCCAGGGACTGTGGGAGGCAGATGTTTGGCTCACATTCAAAGAAAAAGGCTTGGGGAGAAAAATGGCTGCCTTCGAAAGCTTCTTTTTTTTTTTTTTTTTTTTTTTTTTTTTTTTTTCCTAAAAAAAACTTATAGCTGAAGACTCAGGCAGTGGAGACAGAGCGAGGTCCAAGGTCCAAGTAGAAGGTGTGAGTGAACTATAGTTCACTGGAATACGTGTTGTGGGAGAGGCAAGCACAGGTGCTGCTGTTCAGGCACCTTAGTGAAAGCACTGATTTCCTTGAAAGTATGTATGTGACAGGAGTGGGTGGGTGGTCAAGGGTCCTAGGCTTGTCTATGCTCCCAGAGTCATCCTGTCAAGGGCTGAGAAGACATTAAACTGCATATCACTCCTCTTTGTTCTTTGCCAGTTGAAACTGATAGGTTAATTTTGATTCTTAGTGAAAACCTGCGTTAAATGGTCTTTTCATCTAGAATCATTTTCAGAGGCAGTCTCATGGCCTAGTGATTTGGTATACATGTTGATTTGGCTCAGTATCTGAGCCCCTAATTTTCTTTGTCTTTCAGTTCTCATTAAAGGCATATTTATAATGGTTCCAAAGCCCCAGGGCAATGCAACCCTTTTGCTCCCTCCTTCCTAAATGTCATACATGACTGGATTTTTATTGCAAGAATTATCAAAGCTACATCACTACACAAGTTATGGGGGACTACTACTGTACCCAAGGAACCAGTGAGGCTGCTGCAGACTGGAGCTACAGGAAAAAAACAAAATATGCAAGATGAGGATTTACATCCCAGTAGCAACAATATTTTTAATGGTATTCTTACAAATTGGGTGCAGTTTTTTGCTGTGGACATGGGATAGCAGTCTTACTAACCAAAGATTATGTCACAACTGCTTAGGGGACTCAATGGAAAAATTGCTAACATTTGATATATCCTAAAGATGGCTCATATTGTGATGAGTTATTTCCTAGAAGACATTTATTGGGTCCATCAGCAAATTCATTTCCAGACTAAATGTAAATAATGTGAATTAGACCCAATTTTATAGACAGTCTATGGAAAAGTGAGATCAAGGTTTACAAATTTAATTTTTTTTTTTTTACAGTTAATACTGTATTGAAACAGGCAGTGATTCTCATCACAGAGAAAACAAGTATTCTGCTGTAGTTGTTTACATTTTTACTTTGAATTATCTGGACAGGTATACGACTGTTTTTTTTTTTTTTTTTTTTTTTTTTTTTTTTTTTTTTTTTTTTTTAAAAAAAAAAAAAAAAAAAAAAAAAAAAAGAGGACGATAAATCTTTCACTGTGATATATCAAAATAA